TATATTTCTAAACAAAACATACATTCTCTCCCTGAGACTTTGCAACCAGATTTTATAATTTTGTTTCTTCTCTATTGATCAAATACTAGATTATAATACTGTTACTAATAACATAAGTACAAGTGGGAGAAAGAAGCAGTGAAGAGGTATCGGATATTATGAGGGTATGTAAAGGGAATGTTTACTTGTATATTATCATTAGTGAAGACATTTGAGACCTCCCTTGAAAAGTACTTATTATTTATTTCAACCATGGTTCTTGATATATATTTTTGCATAACTGAATGAATAGTTAGAATGACTAGAAGATCATATCTATTTATTAGCCCAGATAATCACTTTGGTTCTTATTCTAAAGAGTAATAAGAGGTCTGTGGATGATTTTGATTAAGAATACATTTAAATCTTTGAACAATCTTGCTGAGCATAATTTGGAGAAAAGAATGGAAAGGGAAAGATGGAGGTTGGGAGGTTTGTCAGAGTAGTGCCAGAGTGGGCTTATATCTGAGTCCACTGGTCCAGGAAGGAATGGTGAGAGTGGATCTGAGACATTTAGGAAGGAGAAATCACAAGAAATGAAAATGAATTGATGGATAGAAGGTGTGGTGAAGGAGAAGAGGAAATTCACGATGAACCTCAGGTTTGACCTTTGGGGAATTTTTTTCTCTACTAGTATAAAATAACAGCCTTGTGTTTATATCCTGTGGTCAGGTAGCAATCCAGTTGGTGCGATGAACAACAACAGGTATTGTCAGCAGAATAATGATTTAAAATTTTTCAGGAGAGACCTGTTTTCCAGCTGCTAAGTGCCTCATGGCAATCCTTTTTTTGTTTTTTTAGCTCATGAAGACATAAAACCATATAAAGTTGCCACATAATAACTTTGGGTGTCCATATCTGGGGTGTCTGTATCTACAGTAATTTTTCTCCTGAAGTCATTTCCAATTTCATTACCCAGTTACCATCATCAGTTATTTCATGCTCCTCAAAGTCATTTGGAATGAACCCTTGTTCCAAAAGCAAGCTTAATAACTTGTTCCCTTCAGCAAAGTTTCCTGTGCATCAGCTTGTTAAAAAATGGACACAGAGCCAAGCACAATCCCAGCACTTTGGGAGGCTGAGCTGGGTGGATCACCTTAGGTTGGGAGTTCAAGGCCAGCCTGACCAACATGGAGAAACCCTGTCTCTATTAAAAATATAAAATTAACTGGGTGTGGTGGCCCATGCCTGTAATCCCAGCTACTGAGGAGGCTGAGGCAGGAGAATCACTTGAACCTGGGCGGTGGAGATTGCAGTGAGCTGAGATTGCGCCACTGCACTCCAGCTTTCCATATGGTCAACATGCCCCTCCATTCAGCTCCTGAGTGCTTAAGGGTCAAGTAACCCTCTCTGTAGAAGTGAGTGCAGTGCAGCATAGTGGGATGCAAGGTGTGCCAATTACAACACAGACATGTCTAGAGAAGTGGTCAATAGCATATACACAAAACAAATTACTCACCTTGATCATCTGTATCCTGTAGTTTATTCTATGATGGTAGTGGAAGAGTTACAAAGACACGATTGATTTTAGACTCTGATGAAAATTGGCTTCTGTCTATGGTATAAAAACATGTTAAATTACTTCGCTAAGTTGCTTCAAGGCTATGTGATTTGGTAATTGCTTTGATGGTTATTTGATATAAAGAAGTAAACAAATTGAGGGTGTTAGAGAATACTGAAAGATGTCAGGGAAGCTTGATCTTTCAGTACTGAAATATTGCTGAAAGTTTAAATTATCATGAGTTTAAATGATTTTGAGGGCAGATCTTGTCAATATCTTTTAATAATTTTTAGAACTTTAAAAATATTACAGGAACTATTTCAAAATACTAAACCATCATTCATGCAGATTCCTAGTAATATATTTTCAATATTTTCCTATTTACAGTATGTGGATATCAGTCTTTCAGCCAAACTCAAGAAAAAAAATGAGAGCATAGCCCCCAAATCCCAAAATAACTTTTTAACAAAATAAAATTATTTCATTAAGTGATTTTAAATTTTAGTAATGTCACAACTATATTGATAGCAGGTAACACATTTTCACCATGCAGATTTCTTAAACATATGTTACCTGAAAAATTTACATCTCAAAATATCAAAAACCATCTCCTCTTTGGCTAGGCTTTTTTGAGTTTGTAACAGTGACTAAGAGGTAACTGATCACTCTTTTTTTTCCCTAAATTGGACTGATATCCAAGAGCAAATCTTAATATCACTAAAATGAGAAATGAGGATTGCCACAATAACTAACTTGGAGTATGTTGAATGCTTCAAAGTAAGAATGTCTCTCCTTTAGTTACTGATAATAAATCAATTATTATTCTTAGCAGTATGTTTTCCAGGGGAAATGTCGGTTATTTTATAGTTGTTTCACAGCATGCTTTTTGCCAGAAACATTAAAAATCAATTAGTTTTCATTAAAAAGTGATCATACTTTGTTTTCAAAATCAAGTCATTTACAACTTGGCCCAAGAACATCTAAAATTGAAATATTTTATAACAATTATTGTTTTCTCCATATTTTATGTTCAAGTTTGAATTTTTAGTAAAGGTAATAAATAATTCTGTTACATTTATGTTGCTCCTGATGTGGATTTTTATTTCAATGAATGTACATTTATAAAATCTTTTATCCTAAAATTTCAAATCACTCTCTACATATTATTCCATATCAAATTGAATGTTTATTATATTAAACCACCTGAGATTATGTCTGGTGTTTATTTATTACTGCACTGTAGCTGAACCTGTCCTGCCTAAAATATATCACAAATGTCAGTTTCTTTGTGAAATCTTAAAACAGATTGATAGATCTTTTAGAGGGTTTCATTCTGTGGTCTCTCTCTTGGAATCCATTATCTTTGATGCAAATTAATGTATTTCTTGAACATGATAATAATCAGTAACTAAAAGAACTTAAAGCTCTAAAAATATTAATTTAGCAATATAAAACTTAAATGTGCCCATATGGCTATGCAGTGTATTTACAAACCTCGGCTTCAGAACCTACCTCATGTCTATTAATAAAAGTGTGTCATAGCTCCTATCTTTTGAAAGTCAGGAATTTTCAGAGAAAAAAAAATACATTCTGATGAACTACTCACACTTTCTTAGTCCATATGAATAACACACAGATTAGATAGTGGAAGCCAACTTAGAAATGTTTCTTTTTGGAATTGTATTTAATTTCCAACTACAAAGATATCTAGCTTGATGTCACTAGAATGAAACCTATTTTGTGTATGATACAAAAAGCAGAAAATACAAATCTTTACGTGGAACTATATTATGTTTCCTTAGAATATGACTAGTTATAGTGCAATTTGTGAAAGATTTCTATTATTTATTTTTAGAAAAACAGGTCTTCATTTTGTTTCTACTAACACATATTTAGATTAAGTAATAAAATACAATTCTATTGGATACCTATATAAGCATACTATTTAATTATAAGCAAAATTCCTGTTTTTAAGAACAATTTGCTATACTTTTAGATTGATCTACATGTTAAAGCTGGCTTGTCTATCTTTCTCTTCCCACAAATGAGTTAGACTGCAGGCAGTCCTCTAAAAAAGTGGAGATCAAAATGAAATCAAAATGGCCTAATGCTCCACAGGATGAGTGCATCGTCTGTCTGCAGGGTTTCCCAGCAGGTGCTATTTAATCTGTTGAATCTGCCCAAAGTCTGTCTCTCATATTTGCAGAATCTGATAGCACCATTATTTCATTAAACAGAGAACTGCTGATTTGTGCATCATGTATCAGTTGGGGTCCTGTTTGGAGGGAGAAGCCACAACAGTGATTTGGATAGAGAACTTTTTATACAGATATTTTTTAGCTATAACAGAGCAATAGAGTAATATCAAGTTCGTTAGTAACAGTAAAGAGAACTTGAAAATAATACAGCAATAGCAGACAATAGGAGCATCCATTATTTTCAAGGCCAAGATAAAGTGCTCCAGGAAGAGATTCCAGGACTGCACTGGAAATCAAGATGGCACAGCTGTGGCTCACAGAACAGCAGAGAAGTCACTATAGTGCTGCACTGACAGAACTTGCTGGAATTCCACCCCCTAGGGTGCTAGAAAAAGCTGTTTATGCGATGGTGACTCACTGGAAGCACACTACTAGAGAATCATCTAACGAGGTGCTGAGGGAGCTTCTGGCCACCAGGTATGGAGCCCTTTTCAGGAGTGGCCATCCATACCAAACTATCAGGAGTCTGGCGCTGTGGAGGCCGTGTCTTCTGCAGGAGCCAGTCCTTTGGAAAAAGAGAACAGGCTTTTCTTCAGACTTTTTCATCTGTGCTCATTGATGTTTCCCAATATCCGGATCAGGATATACAGGAAGTCAAGAAAAGTCCCACAGAATTCACCACCGTGTCATTCTTCAATTCTCAATTCCCTAGTCTGTCTTCCTCCTTCTTTGCACTATTCAGAATCTTCATAGGCCTGATTTATATACAATATATAGGGGGGTAGTTGTGTTTAGCAGGAGGAATAGGAAGAAATGGGTGTATTCCATTTGCCTGGAACTGGAAGTCCATCTTTGCGTTAAAAACTGTTTTTTCTTTTCTCTCACCAGTGCTTCTCTGACTCTTAAATTAGTGTGTTGCGATATTATTCTGTGTTGTAAAATGTATTTCTCTTCTGCCACCTTCACTAACGTTTATTTTTTTCTTACCTTCTGTTTTCTTCTTGCTCCCCTTCTTCCCATTGTTCATTTCCTACCATCTCAACTCTCTTTCCTTCCTCACTTCTCCTTTTCTGACATGGTGCAACTATTCAGAATCTATTAAGACATAATTCAACAAAGTTTATTTATCACTACGTTTTCCAATGACATCACTTCCATATTTATTTTGGGTTTAAAATACAAAAGTAACAAATGAGTTTTATAGTTCCAGAACATAATTTATCTAAGCAACTGAAGTTTTGGCAAAAAAAATCAAGAGGTTTCATCATTAGAAATAATTTTATTATTTATTTAAAGCAGTTCAATGTTACTGGTAGCAAAATGGTACAGACCAATAAACAGAATCAATTCCCATTGGGCTGCAAGGACTATTACTGACTTTATATTTTATTTTCTTGTGCAAGTATAATTATTTTAAAAACGCAACAGTTCATTAAAAGTCTTTTATAAACATGTTTTTATTCTTTAAATAAGAGAAAGACTAATAAATTATTATTGTAGCAAGCTGGTATGAACTGTGTCAAATATTAAATTTGGACTAATGTTCATAGTCAAAAATAATTATTTTAAAATTTATGAAACAAAAATTTTAGTTATATAGGAAATATAATCATATCCTAGCTTAAAATCCTAGTTTCAACAACTGTCATAATGCAAAAATACCAAACATCAAATCTTGTGGGGAAATAAAAGATTTGTAAAATTTTACATTTAATCCTAAAAATAATGAAGTAAAAAAGGTTAACTTAAACATCATACTTGACTCTTGATATGCAAATATAAAACAAGTTCATTAAATTTATTATTTTTCTCTGTTACATATATTAGTTCCATTCTGCCTTCAGTTTTTAACAATTTATATGTGAATGTGTGTCAAATATATTTCACATGTTTATAACATATACACATATATGCATACAATCTTTAAGTTTTAAGGCATGCTCCCAATTTTAGGTAACCTGTCATAAATTCTACTTCTCTGATCAAAGTAGATTAAATGCAGGATCTCTGTTTTAGGGGTAATTCTTGGAGTTCTTGTTATTCTAAAATATGGATAATGTAAAATACTCAAAAGAAAAAAGGCATTTCATAGTCTCCAAGCCAAATTATACCAGGACTACAATCTTTGATTTCACATTGCACTTTACACTTTTATTTCTGTAGAATTATTAAGAGAACATTAGAATATCTTTTCTTAAAAATTTTTCTTATTCTTTAAGTTGATCTGCGTCATTATCAAAAGAAAGGCAAAAATGTCCCTTTCTATTCTTTGTTGTTGAATTAAACTCAATGCCAAATTCAAAAACTAAAAAATACAAAATTAGAGGAGTATATATTTAAATTTACCAATGTTTCTTTTGTAAGACACATTTTAACACACTTCCACTACCTAGAAAACTATGTATGCATTCTCTTACGCTTTTTTGATCTATTTCTCTAGGGAGAAAACACAATACAGGTAAAAAATTGGTGTTATCAATGGTCAATTTATATTTAAATTTATAACTCAAATTCTACACGATTTCTATTAATGTTAAAAGCCAAGAACTACCTATTCTTGTTTTACGCTTTTCTCTCATAATGTTAAAATATAGTTCATATAATTTAAAAATTAAGCCAAAATTTGTAATACAACCTTTTTTGAGTGTTATTGTTTCATTACCAAAGACATAAGAAGGACTTTTAATGTTTTGAAGTGTCTTTGGGGTTCATAAAAGGTATAAATTATCTTCTGTCAATTTTAAAAGTATTTTTCTAATGAAATTTACTATATAGATATATGAAACATGATAAAGCTCAAGAGTCTAATGACAATCATTACTACATATTTCAAGAAATCCAGTTAATATTTCAATCCTTGAATTAAATTTAAGTCAACAAATGTGTATTAAGTATTTTCTCTATGCTAGGCATTCTTTCAGGAGAATAATAGATATTTGCTTTAGAGTATGCTTTTCTTGGCATAAAATGTTTGCTAGACATAAAGTTACCAAAAAGTGCAGGAACCTAGTGTTTCTTTTCATTTATATTTTAGTTACTTCAGTGTAATAACACATGCTATGACATCTCAAATTCTAAGATAAATATTTTTATATCATAAGGCAGACAAAAAACGTTAAAATGACTTAAAGATTTGTATTCTAAAGCAAACTATGATTCTTACACAAAAGTCAGCCACACAAGTTTGTTAGTTAATCTCTATGTAGAGAAGACTAGACATTTATGACGAGTTCAACTTTGTAAAACAGTGAGTTTAAAGAATATAATATGGCACATTTAATTTTTAAGAGGGGCAACAACATTGTGTCCATTGTTATGCACCAAATATAGATTTTGTCAACTTCATAAAACCTTAATAATTTTTTAAATTGGTTTCATATAGTTTGGATTATTATAAAACAATTAAATGTCAGATTTAAATATTTGTATTTTAATTTCGCTTTTCAAACTTATTCCATTGATGTTCTTCAAATATTAATAAGGAAAGTACCAGTAAGTAGTAAGGTAAGTTTCAAAATGATCTATACTTCTAAGAGAAGAGGCTAAGTTTTTAAATATGAGAAAACTACATATATTTCCATCTAGTTTCTTTCATGCCAGCAACACTTTTGTGGTTTCAAGCAAGGTCCTTGCAGGAAAAAAAGTTTCTCATTTTATTTTTATCAAAGTTGAGTTTCCTCCCGAGCGTCTTGACCAGTGACATTGCAGATGCTGTTTCTCCGACTGGGATCACTGTTCGGGAGGTAGGCCAGTGGATCTGGTCTAATTAAGTATCTAATAAAAGAAAAAAAAACAAATAACTTTGCAATAGTAAATATAGGCAATATTAATTCACACTGACACTTTTAGTTTTCAGATTATCTAAACTGTACAACATTGGTGGCAGAACTCACTGTTTAGCTGGCCTTTACAATTTGGCCCTGTTAACATGATCATTTTCAGACCTGAGAAGATGATGATGATGAATGCTGATGAATCAAGCACTATTATTTTTCTTCTTCCTCCTCTTTTTCCCTGTGCATGTTGGCTGTCTGGCACCATTATTTTTTAATTATGATCAATTTCAGCACTTTCATCTCATCAAAGTTTTATGATTTAGTATGCTATTGACTTATTCTCCCTTGCTTTGGCCATTCTTCTATGAAGGAGATCTACATTTTAGCCATCCTTGTTCCGTTACTTAACTGTTCTTTGTCTCATGTTTATCACTTAAAAAATTAGAAAACTGATATAAACAATTTCTATAGTCTTTTCAATTTAAATATTTTATGAATCTATGAAACTGACAATTTAATGAATGTTACAGTGAATATAATACATAATGTTTAAATCAGCTGAAAAATTATGTATTTAAAATTCACGTTATGGTGATAATACTAAAGTATAGAGAATAATCCTTAATTAATTCTACTAGTAAATAGAAAAATGTTTATCTGACAAACTCAAACATTTCATTAACATGAGAATTTGTTGTAAGAGAGTTGTCTTACTTCAGACTGTCAAATGATGTACAGGCCTACTTTTGTTGCTTTTCACTTGGTTGCACTTTGCCAATATGTCATTATTTATACAGGGAAGGTTTGTGGCAATCCTGCCTCAAGCAAGTCCACTGGAGACATTTTTTCCCCACAGCAGGTGCTCACTTAGGGTCTCTGTGTCACATTTTTGAAACTTGAACGTTTACCACTGGACGTATATCTGTTATGGTGATGTGTGATCAGTAATCGCTGATGTTCCTATTGTAATTGTTTTCAGATACCACTAACTGCACCCACATAAGAAAGTAATTTTAATCAATAAATGTGTGTGTTCTGATCACTCCACCAACTGGCTGTTCCCTCGAACTTCTCTCCCTCTTCTCCACCACCCAAGACCCAAAAATATTAAAGTTAGATCAGGTGATAACCCAAAAACGATCTCTAAGTGTTCAAGTGAAAGGAAGAGTCTTGTGTCTCACTTTAAATCAAAAGCTAGAAATGATTAAACTTAGTGTGGAAGGCACATCAAAAGCTTATACAGGTTGGAAGTTAGGCCTTTTGTGCCAGTTAGCCGAGTTGTGAATACAAAGGAAAAGTTCCTAAAGAAATTAAAAGTGCTACTCCAGTGAATACAAAATTGATTAAAAAAAAGGGAAACAGGCTTATTGCTGAGATGGCAAAGATGGCAAAAATATGAGTGGTCTGGAAAGATCAAACCAGCTGCAACATTACCTTAAGCCAAATCCGGAGCGATGCTCTACTTCTTTTCAATTTTCTGAAAGGTGAGGGAGGTGAAGAGGCTATGGAGGGAAAGTCGGAAGCTAGCGGAGATGAGCTCATGACGCTTAAGAAAAGAAGTCGCCTCCATAACATAAAATGCAAGGTCAAGCAGTGTGTGCCAATGGATAGGGCACAGCAAGTTATCAAATCTCTTTTAATAAGATCACTGATGAAGGTGGCTAAATAACGAATTTTCAATTCAGGAGGCAGCCTTCTATTGGAAAAAGGTGCCATCTAGTGCCTTCATTGCTAGGGAGGAGAAGACAAAGCCTTGTTTCAAAGCTTCAGGGATAGGCTGACTCTCTTGGTAGGGCTAATGCATCTGTTGACTCTGAGTTGAAGCCATTGCTTATGTACCATTCTGGAAATCCTAGGACACTTAAAAATTCTGCTAAATCTACTTGGCCTGTGCTCCATAAATGGTAAAACAAAGCCTGACTTGTCACACATCTGTTTAAGGCACAGTTTGCTGAATATGTTAGGCTCACTGTTGAGACCTAATGCTTAAAAAAAGATTATTTTCAAAATATTACTGCCCCTTGTTAAGGCACCTCATCACCCAAGAGCTCTGATGGAGATGTACAAAGAGATTAGTATTGTATCATGCTTGCTAACACATCTATTCTGCAGCCCGTGGATCAAAGAGCAATTTCAATGTTGATGATTCATGGAAGGAGGTCGAAATAGCAACATTAACAGAAGTTTGAAAGTTGTTTTCAACCCTTATCAATGACTTCAAAGACTTCAAGACTTCAGTGGAGGAAGTAACTTCAGTTGTGACAGAAATAGCAAGCGAACTAGAGTTAAAAGTAGAGCCTGAAGATGTGACGGAATTGCTGCAATCTCAGATCAAAACTTGAATGAATGAGTTGCTTCTTACTGATGAGCAAAGAGATTGGTTTCCTGAGATGAAATCTACTCCTGATGCAGATGCTATGAACATTGTTGAAATGACTATAAAGAATTTAGATTATTACATAAACTTAGTTGACAAGTAGCAGCAGGTTTTGAAAGGATTGATTCAAGTTTTGAAAAAAGTTCCAATGAGGGTAAAATGCTATCAAAGAGTATCACGTGCTACAGATAAATTTTTCATTAAAGAAAGAGTCAATCAATGCAGCAAACCACTTCATTGTCTTATTTTAAGAAATTGCCACATCACTCCAACCTTCAGCAAACACTACCCTGATGAGTCAGCAGCCATCAACATTGAGGCAAGACTCTCTACCCCCAAAAAGGGTATGACTCCTTGAAGGCTCAGATGATTGCTAGCATTTTTAAGCAATGAACTATTTTTTAATCAAGTAAATTTTTAGGCCTAATGCTTTGCTTTTGCATACTTAGTAGACTAAAAGTATAATGCCAACATAAATTTTGTATGTACTGGGAAACCAAAAATTTCAAGTAACTCACTTGATTGCAATATTCACTTTATCATGGTAATCTGTAACCGATCCTGCAGTATCTCTGAGTTATGGCTGAATATCTTCAGTGTCTGCTTCTTGAGCACCTGTAGGAAACTGTGCTAACACCTTAGAATTAAAAAAAAAAAATCGCAAAACCTGAACCCTGTCCTGCAGAAGATTAGAGTTTAATTTATGAAGCAAAAATAATGAAAAAAGAAATTTCAAACATCATACGAAGTGAAAAAGAACAATAGAGAGAATTAGGAAATCCTTTATGGAGGGGTTGGGTTGAAACTGCCTTTCCAGGCTTCAGAGAAGATTTAGGAGGAAGGAACAGGAGGTGATCCCGAATGTTGATAATGGAGACCACAGAGGATGCATGTTTCTGATGTGCTTAGAAATGAGTTTGACTTTAGGAAACTGGTAAGTCATCGTGCGTAAAGTCAGAAAAAAAGGTAGGAAACTGGTAATGAAAGGCCTTAAGTTTCAGAATAAGTAGTTTCAATCAATATGTGTTCCAAAGGCAGTAGGAAGCCACTGAGGTTTTGAAAAGGAGAGAAGGAAAATACATATATGCAACACGGCATTGTAAGAAGATGTCATGTTCCAAGTGCAAACGAAATAAGTATTTCCTACTTCTATAATAATCTTAAGAGGAAGTATATAAAATGAACAGGGAAACTATTAAAAAGTGAGAACTCTAATAAAGATTGCACTTTTGTCTTAAAAAACTAAAGGGAAAAATTCATGAAATATACTCCTTAATGAAAATGAGAAAAGGCAATCGAAAACACTGAGTCTATTTTCTTTGATCAAATAAAAGTTGAGATTAGTGTCCTTAGATCTATTAACCGGATTTTGTCATCTATGCACACTGCTTTATAACTGCTTTAAATATCAATAGCATTGTAGATTGATGAAGAAAACTAATCGTGCACATTATACTTTTTAATACCATATCATCTAGTGATTTATTATTCTTTGTATCAAGTTAATGTTGCTTCTTCATTTAAAATAAACTTTCAAAAGTGAATTTTTAGAAAAAAGTAAAAGATAACAGTATATTCCATTATCCTCTAAATTCATTGAGGTAGTAGCAAAAGTTCCTTTTCCTATATTATCACTAAAACCTATGAGTACAATAAAGCAAATTCCTTAAACTGTGTTTTTATATATTATTTGTCATGGCTGCCATCTTTCAAGTGATAATTCATCATTGTCTGGTTCTCCTGAAATTTAATTATCTCAGTGCCACAAATACAGATCACTGCAATGGTGTAACTAAAGCTTTTTAAAATTTTCTTAATAGCAGTCAAGTTGATGTTTTAGCTTAAAACTAATAAAAAATATCTAAAAGGCAGGAAATTATCTGAAAATATGTCTATTTACCTGTCCACGTTGTAACATACATATTTTATTCATAAGTTAAAAGATTGAAAATTATTTGAAATTATAAACATAAATATTTGACAATAGGACATGTTCATAGACTCAAAAGGTTAGCAATATTTTCTTTGAACATCTGTCAAAAACTATTCTGGGAAATAACTGTATTAATCTTAAGAAATACAATTCATTATAAAATACAAATAAGGTATGTATAATTTTTAAAATTCTATATAGTTAACACAATTATTTGAAAAAGAGGTATAAGAAGGCTGGAATTAATATGAGTAGGTTAGATATTTAATAAAAATTATCTGTACTTATAGGCTTAAAAGAAAAAAGACATGTATAAATATGGATGCTAAGAAAAAAGAACAGCTTCGTTTTATTGTAGCAATATACTACGTGAAGGAAATCCAAGTGCATCTTAAATAAGATGTTTTCCTCTCACTTGAAGTCCTGTATAAATTAAATAGCATCATCAGATACATTTTTTGACAGTGACTTAATTCTACTAGATTAAATTTTTATTCATCTGATTCCCCAATGCTCCTGTATTCTAGCTAGTATTATCAGGTGGCAAAATAAAGCAATATTATACTTGATAGTTCTATCTTAGGTGCATTTTAGGAATCTCTTCACACTTATTTGGGGTCTAATTTACTCCTGCTGTTGTATATTGCCAATAAATTTTTCAAATGCTTCCTGTTTCTGCCCTAAAACAAAACACTCCTCAATAGTGCAACATTCATTCTACTTTTTCTTCTGTATTCAAATTTTTGGGAAAAAATTCCCTAATTAGCCTTTTCAGCTGGAAGATAAAAAATATTTTTTTCTATAGAAAATTAGTTTATCTTCAAAGTTTCAATAATATGTATCTATATGCTTTCTAGACATTTCCTCTTTGCACTTTAAATAATATATTTGAATGAATGGATCAAGAAAATTTGTGGTATATATACAAAATTGAATACTATTCATCCATAAAGATGATGGAATTCTGTCATTTACAGCAACATAGACAGAACTAGAGAACATAAGCCACAGAAAAACAAATTCATATGTTTTCATTCATATGTGTGAGCTAAAATAATTGATCTCATGGAGATAGTAAGTAGAATGTTACCAGAGGCTGGGAATGGTAATGGGGAGGGGAAGACGGAGAGGAACTGATTAATTAATAACCAAACTACAGTTACACAGAAGAAATAAATTCCAGTGCTTCACAGCACAGTAGGGCAGCGACACTTAACGAGACTTTATTGTATATTTCAAAATAGCTGGAAAAGAAGATTTGGAATATTCCTAACACAAATAAATTATAAATGTTTGGGGTAATGGCTATTCCAATTACCCTGATTGATTATTACAAATTTTATGCATGTATCAAAATATCACATGTACCCCCTAAAAATGCACAACTATCATGTATCAATAAAATTTAATTAATTAGAAAGGCAATATTCATTAAAAATACATATATACCTGGACCCACATATCATCTCTCTCTTTTTTTTTTTTTTTACTACCCCACAACCGCTTTCCAGTCTGCAATATTGTCTCCCTATTCTGACTTGTTTTGATGAAACAATATTTTTATGTTTATTTTTTGTAATCACACAGTTTTGAAACCCTAAAGCTATGTTAGACTTCTTTTTCAAATCCCAAATCAATAATCAAGTCTCATTTTCTGCCTTCATAAATCTATTTAAGGGGCTTGACTTTACAATGCCTTATCTTAATGCTATGACAGATGTTTTTTTTCCACACACCTGCTTTTTAACCGGTTTCCCTACATTCAGGTCCACCCCGACCCTAACCCAGCCTGTCAATCAATTCTCTTGTTTTCTGCAGAACTCCTTTAAAAAAATCATACCCTTTCCACTCCAGTCAAAATCTTCCACAAAACTGACAACATATCAAATAGTCTTCCAAGGTTTTGCATACTATTACATTTGGTTCTGAACCTCTTGCATGGGTCCGCATTGTGCTCCGCATCACAAAATGTTCTCAGTCCTGCTAGCTCTGACCTTACCGCTTGCTTTCTGGATTACAGACGCAAACCTATCCTATGGACCTAATATCCACAAAACTTGTGGGTCTCTGGCATTCGTTTTATGTCTCTAATACAATCCATAGTTAGCTTCCTTGGGTAAACATCCTTTTTTTTTTTTTTTTTGGTGTGTGTGTTAAGCAGTGTTTTATTTTGCCGGGCGCGGTGGCTCAAGCCTGTAATCCCAGCACTTTGGGAGGCCGAGGCGGGTGGATCACGAGGTCAAGAGATCGAGACCATCCTGGTCAACAAGGTGAAACCCCGTCTCTACTAAAAATACAAAAACATTAGCTGGGCATGGTGGTGCGTGCCTGTAGTCCCAGCTACTCAGGAGGCTGAGGCAGGAGAATTGCCTGAACCCAGGAGGCGGAGGTTGCGGTGAGCCGAGATCGCGCCATTGCACTCCAGCCTGGGTAACAAGAGCGAAACTCCGTCTCAAAAAAAAAAAAAAAAGAAGTGTTTTATTTTTCTTGCAGTAGCTTTGCTAGTTGCACAAAATCATGTTTTTTTTGCCATTAAAACATTATCACACAATCCTATTCTGAAAGAGAAATGTTCATTACAAACAAAGCAAAAAGAAAAAGTCAGAACCTTAATTACCTAGATTTGTCATTCAAAGGTTTAAAGAAAAAAGGGAGGGGCTTTCTCACAAGCCTTTTCAAAAGTGTCACATTTCTCCTTAAAAGGGAAGGATTTCAAAACAAAGGTGGAATAGATGAAACAGAAATATTCATAAAAATAAACTTTACAGAATTGTCAACAACATTAAGACAACACTAACTGGTTTCATTACCACATGTTCCCCCGCCCCCACCCCCAGTGTGTCCTGCCAGGAACAGAACAGGCTTTGTGTTCAGACAGAAATGCTTCAAAATGCCAGTGAAATGAACTGTGCTAAAAACCTGACAGGCATCTTCCCTGCCCTCCCCTCTTGTCTTCTACAATTCTCTAACCCAGGTCCTAATCTGTGGAAGGGTCCAAGGCCATGAGCGGGGAGGAACCCTACCACAGTGTGGCCAGCTTATACGTAATTATATATTCCACCATAAATGCTGTCCTTTCTTCTAAAAATTATGATTTTGGAAAATCCAACCCATGCAGAGGGATAAAAAACTCACATGCCTTGCGTGACTTCTCCTTTTTTTTTTTTTTTTTTGCAACATCCCAAGTCCCCTCTGGTCCCCTCTCCAAGGAGAAATGTAGGACCTCAAGGATGTCCTAGACCCACCTTGGAGGGTCAGTCAGTTCAGGTAGATCAGGCCCAGGTCTGTTCCCTCCTGACAGACCCCAGGCCTGGAAGCATGGAAGACCATAACGCTGGCTGGAGTGAAGACACTTGTTTCCGTATCAAGGGCTGAGCCTAAGAAATGTTCATCGTTGGTCAGGTTGGGGGTAAACATCACTTGATCTACCCCAAGGAATAGGTATCTCAAGGGCAGATTATTGCAAGGAATTTCTTTCTTAGGCTTACACCAACGACTGTCAAAGTGCCTTTTCTAAAATCTTACTACATGCTTGCTCATATAGTCTAAGTGCTGTCCATCATCTATAATGCCAACTTTAAACTCATTTTGTCATCTAAGGCCTTTCCAGAGGCAAATCTAATTTATTTTTCCAGTATTACATTTACCTTACAACAGAAATGCTAACTATACAAAATTTCTACTCCATTCAAATTGCCACTGAAACACTTTCTGCAATTCCTGTGTAGTGCATTTTCTCAAGCCATTCCTCCTGTTCTGGAATGTCCTCTCTTCTCCACCATCACAAATTCATCTATCCTTCAGAGTCTAGTTTAAGTCTCATATTCTTTACAATTGCTCCAACCACTCAATAATGTCTCCTTGTATTAATTCAGAAAAGCAGTCTATCTCACTCTACTGATGCTTAGTTTATTAGTGACAAAGTCATATTATATATTTCTATTAAATTTTTCATGTGTAAATTGTAGTTTTGTTAATTAGAATGTAAGGACTTTGGTATCAGAGAAAATGTCTTAGTCTTCCTATCTCACATCATTAGGTGAGTGCTACAACTGCACATGTTCAATAATTATTTTTCAAGAAGTCAGATTAGTTCCATTGACCTTTTTCTATTAAGTGTTTGACCAGTTGTACCTACGCTTTTGGGAACTTGAAAGTATTTAGAAGTAGACAGTGTGGGATGTTTCAGGTTTTCTGTTAAGTTGCTCTTTTATTCTTCCATGTTTTCCTTTATTTTTCCAAGTAGTTTTTAGCTCACGGAATTCAGAATTCATGCTGCTATTTATTTGATACCTTTTTAAACAATCATATTTTTTTATATTATTACACACAACATATCAAATGCATTTGTTTATAAAATTAGATATAGACTACTTAAGCACTTATAAGAAAAATAAGAGGCAACTATGGCCTAAATAAAAGTACAAAAATAAATAGTAGTTTTCCAAAAATACACATTTTATACAAGATATGAGATCAACTTACACAACATCATTCAGCTCTATCCTGGTATCTGGAGATGGGTTAATTAGGATGTAGGAGAGGGTACTTTGATGATCATTCATTTCATCTAGAAGAGAAAAAAATGCCAAGTTTGTTAAACTCCTTACAGAAAATTATGGGAATTATTATCAAAGAGTTTATGTTCAAACCACATAACTGTCAACAAGAACTTGATATAGTTTTGCTTACAGCATGCTTGTGCACATAAGTTTGGCTATTTTCAAATTACTGTCATTGAAAATATCTGACAGGTACCAATTTTTTGTTCCAAAAGATGATAAAAATAAAGTATCTAATTCTGTTCAGAATAACCACAGTTATAATCTACCCTTTATGCTATTGTACTGAAAAAAGTATTTTTCTTAAATAAATGACTAGATCAGATGTTTACTTGATTATGCTTTATCAATTAAAAAAATAATTATGGTTATAGATAACAATCCTAGAAAAGAACATCAACACAGGATATTCTTAGGAAAATAATACAATTAAATTTTATTTGGAAAACATGATAGAAATGCGTCTAAAAAGCTTGAAGACCCTAAATATGTGTTTGGCTTCACTACACAACACATCTCATTTAACACATCCTAATGCTTTAGTAGAAAACAAAGAATCCTGTGGGACAGAATTTATGAGTTTTAGGGGAAGTGTACTCCTAAACCATTTGTTTTCTCTAAAGCAATATGTGTTTTTAAAATGAAAAGTTTTTAATTTTATTAATTCACTCTGAAGACATCCTAAGGCTGTAAATTGAAATGTTGACCCTGCATTATATAGGACACTGAAAAAAAAAAATAAAAGGTAAACAGCTTTGGGGTCTCAATTTTTTAGATTCCAAGATTATCATAAGATGTAAATATAAAGTTATGTGGATGTATACTTCAATAAAGTGGCTCCTGAAGAAAGAATTAAATTTTTCATTTTGCCCTAAAATCTAGGAATCAGTTTCATACCAATCTAAGAATCAGTAAAATACCAAAACCAAACAGTATTTAGTACATACTCAAATAACTGCATTAAGTTAAAATTAAGATATTTTAAAGCCAACATAGCTGACCCTGATAAACAATTTTTTGCACTGGAATACAAATTACTTTCACAAAATAATGTTGACCACTGTGTTCGTCTAATGAGAAACCTGTCACTTTAACATAAAAGGCATTATTTTCAGCTACAGTATTTCAAGTTGACATGAAATTGTGCCCTATTTTTAAAGTGTAAAAACAAAAATCATTATCTTACAAGGCAGATAAATCAAAAAACAATTAAACCCACTGTAAGCTTGCCAGTAAAATTACAATCACAAACTCACCAAATTCATAATCAAATAAATTAGTATATTCAGTTGCACATCTTTGGGATAGATATAAGGAATCGTATCATGCCATAGTGTTAGGGTTGCCAGAAAAAATAGAGAATGCCCATGAAATCTGAATTTTAGATAAACAACTACCATTTTTGTTGCTGCTGTTGGGATCTCACTCTGTAATCCAGGCTGGGTACAGTGGCTTGATCATACAACTAATGTCTTTTAGAATAAATGTATCCCAAATATTGCATGTGATATATTTATACTAAAATATTTTTGTTGTTTATCAGAAATTTAAGTTCCATTGGGAATCTTGTATTTTTATTTGCTAAATCTGGTGGTCATATCTAGTGGTAGATGGCTAAGTTAACTGGCTAGAGATTAAAATGCCAATGAATGTATATTGATACTCCAAATAAGGTATAATTGCAACTCAAAACATATTTTACTGCAGGAGATTACTAAGACTATTTCTCCATATGAAAAGATATTTTGATTCATAAGTGATTTTTAAGAAATGCCTCCTTGTGTAAATTTCTACAACCATTGTGCAAAGGTACAGAGATTGATAGTGCATTCTGGAGACTAAAATTATAATAATCTAAAATGTAAGAGGTAGACTAGAAAATTGCCATCTTATTTGACTATATATAACTCCATTTCTTTTACAAACAACGGCATTATTGAACTGTGAAACAGGAAAAACAATTTAACAGATAACTTCTCAGTCAATATCAACACTTAACCTTTGTCCCTGATTACTAACAGGATATACTCATTTTTGGTTCTAGAATCCAGCCAAAATCTATTGGCGACTTGGTTTGCCCATTAAAAATGTAAAAACTATGTGGATAACTGAGAAATTTCCAGCAGTAGATGTGACTTCTATGCCAATATTTTTTCTGCTTAAGTAACACTGCTTATTTATCCCACTGAAGATTTTCATTTTCCGATGACCACAGGTATTGGAGCAAACATTTTGCTAATGTTTTCAATTCAATTATTCTATATGGTTTATCAAGACATAGAAAACATCACAATCAGAAATAATGTCTCCCAGTTTCTTTCCTCATCCCTCACTGACGTTTCCTCAGGGAGGAGGAATTACTCATCGTTTAGAATTAGGTTAAAAGAAGTTGCTGACTTGGAAGCTATTCTCTTTCTCTTTCATGTGCGCCTTGCTATAGGGTTCATTTGCCTGCTTGTTCTCTGACAGGCTGCTTTGTGGAGAAGGCTTGCGGTTGCCCCTCCTTCTTTGCGACTTTGTGTGTAAGAATTAAGGAGTGAGATTTTCTAAAAGACTATTGGAGTCACACATCAAAACCTCATTCAACAATAGTTTTTTATTAGCCACAGTGGTATATTTTGTCTCCATCAGTCATTCTCTATGGTTATTTTCTAGATATTCTTTAACTCGGGAGGTTAAAATGTGGTAGTTTTATGGGATCTTTAAGATCCCAACATGATAATTATCACTGACCATGGCAAAGATATAAATTGATTAAAATATGGCTCTGCATCAAGAATACCACATTTACCGAATAAAATATATTTTGTTTGGTAAATTAGCTTCATGAACAACAGATTCAAGATTCTATTTCTTACCAAATAAAAATATCTATGAAGGGAATTTGCAGTGAATATATTTACTGTGTTCCTGATAACCAAAATATGACATTAGCAAAATAAAAAAATACATACATTTTCATTGAAATTGCTATTTCACCAGTGATATAATTATTTTAATAAAACTACTCATAAAAACTGGAAACAATACTCAAATATTGTAAACTTTAAAATAAATTATATAGAGACAAATTTAAAGCTTTCTAGTGGCATTTACAAAGAAACATTTTGCTATATTAACTAGCATATACAATCATTGAACAAAAATCTTAAATGGCAAATATTTTGCTTAGTTTGTGTAAATAGATCACATTAGAAAAGAGACAGGAGAGACAGAATCATACTCCTATTGTCCTTACAACATAATTGAATAATGAGCCCTATTCCACACACATTAATTTCATGTTTTTGTTTTATATTTTCATGGGTTTTTTTTTTTTTTTTGAGATGGAGTCTCTCTCTGTCAGCCAGGCTGGAGTGCTATAGTGCAGTGGTATGATCTCGGCTCATTGCAACCTCTGCCTCCTGGGTTCAAGCAATTTTCCTGCCTCAGCCTCCCGAGGAGCTAAGGCTACAGGCGCGTGCTGCCATGCCTGGCTAATTTTTGTATTTTTCAGTAGAGACAGACTTCACTATGTTGGTCAGACTTTGTCTGGAACACCTGACCTGTGATCTGCCCTCCTCAGCCTCCCAAAGTGCTAGGATTAAAGGCATGAGCCACTATGCCTGGCCCATGTTGAAGTATTTTAAGAGGATATTTGAAAGAGGATAATAGAATTTTGTAAGAAAGAATTTTAAACATTATGTGTATCTGTGTAGGCTACCATTAAATAATACTTCTATTATGGACTGAATTGTGTGTTCCCCCAAAAATTTCAATGTTGAAAAGCTAACCACCAAGATGACTGTATTTGGAGATAGAGCCTCAAAAAATAATTAAGGTTAAATGAGGTCAATAGGGCTATACCCTAACCCAATAGGACTGCTGTCCTCATAAGGAAAAGAAGAGATACCAGGAGTAAATGCACACAGAGACAAGGCTGTATGAGGACACAGAAAGAAGGCAGCCATCTGTCAGCCAAAATGAGAGGACTCAGAAGAAATCAAACTTTGGGCACCTTGATGTTGGACTTCCATCTTCCAGAACTGTGAGAAAGTAAATTTCTAGTGTTTACATCATCCAGTCTGTGATATTTTGTTATGGCAGCCCAAGCATACAAATATAACTTCTGAATACACATATCCATCATATCATGTGTAATCAGAGAAACAGTCCATATAATACAAAGATACCATTTAGAGGCCCAGTTAAGAACAAAGGCTCTGAAACCAGACCACTTGCATTGAAATTCTGGATCTGCCAATTGCTCACTTTGAGTTCTTAGGTCAATTACTTAACTTCTCTTAATTTCTCTGTGCTCAGCATCCTCGCCTGAAATATGAGGATAGGAACAGTACAATCTGCAGGTTGTTGTTAGAATTAAATTCTAATAAATGACTAATAAATATAATTTAAAATCAACATGTTCACATTGATTTACAGTTCTTGTACTTAATGCCTTATTGCTATTAAGTGCAACATAAAGGTTATGTATTATTATTGTAGCAGGCAAAAATCAAGCAGTAAGTTATAAAAAACAATTTTACATATATATATTGCTATATGTAGGTGTTGTCATGCATAAACAGGGGAAGAGTGTTTCAAACAAATAGAAGGGCAAATGGCAAAGCATGAGATGGTTTGGCTTCTATTGCAGAAAACCAGGGAATGGACTAAAGTGAGAGAAGAGAAGATTAATTTGAGATGACGTTGAACAGGCAGGCTGGGACCAGATTCTTAGAGGGCCTTACCCTTGGTCAGCAGTTTGAAGTTTATTCTAAGTGCAATGAGAAAACATTGAAAGCTTGCAAGGGTCGAGGGAAAGGGCTGGTGATATATTAAATATACCACCCATTTTATATTAAATATATCACTTTGATTCCTTTGTGGAAAATAAACCTTATGCAGAGACAGGTTTAAACTGACTCAATTTGTTCATGAATTCCAGTTTATGTTTAAATAAATTTTGTTTATGATTACAACTATTTTGTCTATTATTACTGAACTGACCAGTATATTTTGGGGTGCG